TTTTCTGATGAATGCTGGACTTATAACCAAAGAAGAATGGAGTGCACAAATAACCAAGCTGGATGGCTAGGAGCAGGAGCAGAACAACAGACAGAGGAAGAAGAGGAGACTGCAAAGGAAGAACGGGCAGAGTGAAAACACAGAGTGGAGGAAAAGCTACACAGAAGGCAAAATAAACAACACGACAAAATGGGGGAGGTCTGGGAACGGTTATACCAATGTTTAATATGGGGAAATCCAGATAAAAGGTGGAGGGGACAAGCAGATGAGAGGGATCCAGAGAGTAAAGGGGAGAACCGGCAAGGAAAATAGAATAAAATTTGCAAAGGGAAATACCGGTAATAGGCGTGATGAAATATAGAAATTCTAGTTATAATGGTAGATAATATTCAGTTAAGATCTGTTTAATATAATATAGAGGTTTCTGTGTGTATGATAATTTATAAGGCTTGATCAATATTAGTTGGAAAAGAGAACTGGGCATAAAAAGTGTACCATTAATATTAATGACAGAATTGTACAAGTTGTAGAGCAGGTATTTGGGGGGGGAGAGATTTGGCTTTTAAACCAGTTAAGACAGGACAAGGCTAGCGGAGGGAACTGAGCCAACGGTCCAGACCACACTTCGCCACTGCCCCCATCACCAAGGCCAAGAGGCCAGTAAAATTCAATTCAGTAGAAGGGGGGGGTTTAAAGGCAAATAATTGTAGGTAGGTGGTGGTGAAAGTGAGGGATTTCTCTCTTTCTCTCTTTTAGGTGTAGTAATGTTAAGTTCTTTAATGTCATGTATAGGGAGAGTTAGGGTGTGCACAATAAATTTGGGATTAGGAAGAAGTATAATAAATAATGGTTAAACAGATAAAATTAATTACTTGGAATGTGAAAGGCCTAGGAATGACTGAAAAGAGCGCAAAAATACAAAAATATGCTAAATAAGAGTAACATGGACATAGTGTTTTTACAAGAAACTCACCAAAAAAAATAGGGTCTGAATGAACTGAAATGTAATTGGTGTGATGTATATGAAAAATCTTTTGGTTCCTCAAAATCAAGAGGAGTAGGAATTTTAATTTCCAAAAGTTGTGATTTTAAGATAGAAAATTTGGGAAGAGTCACACAAGGAATGTACTTAATAATACTGTACAAGGGATATTAATGGGAGAAGGGTGTGATGACTATATATGCACCTAATGAGAAACAAGAGGAATTTTTTGTAAATATACTAAGTAGATTGGACAAAGTAAGGAAAGGATTTCTTGTGTTAGCAGGATATTTTAATCAAAAGTACAGTCAAAATAGTACAGAAAGCAGATAAATAAAAGTGTTATACAATTTAAAACAAATTTTGAGAGGCAGTCTGGGGCTGGCTCTGTGCATGCTCTCTCTAAATTTGAGGGGGAGACCGGCTGACTTCTGCAGGCTGTGTTGCCTCTGCTCATGTGCCTGCCTCTCGGCTGATTAGTTATTGATTTTTTTTTTAGAGTTCCCTCCAGCCTGTGGGAGCTGCCCCAGGCCGCCTTTCAAGGAGGTGGAGGTAGTGGCAGGAGTGGGTGGGGAGCAGTGGAAATCGGGCGGAGCAGGCTGGGAGGGTGGTGGTGGGGGAAGAACCAAGAAGTTCGGAAAAACACTAAAAAGTTCGTAGTTCAGGTTGGTTTCGGTTCTCTAGTTCAGAACCAACCTGAACCAACGAACCAGCAATTTTCCACAAATTTCCTACTTTGTTTTTTGGTTTGTGCCCATCTCTTCTCACCACCGCCTAAGGTAATTGATTCCATTGTTGTACTGCTCTTCCAGATAGGGTGTTTTCCCTGGTATTTGGCTTAAATCTGGCTTCCTGTTGCTTGAGCCCATTCTTATGTGTCCTGAACTCTGGGATGATCAAGAACAGACCCCGCACTTCCTCTGCTCCTCCTTTCAAGTATTTGAAAAGTGCTATCCTATCACCCCTGAGTCTTCTTTTCTCCAGGCTAAACATGCCCAATTCTTTCAGTCTTTCCTTATAGGGCTTGGTTTCCAGTCCCCTGATCATCCTTGTTGCCCTTCTCTGAACTTGCTCCAGTTTGTTGGCATCCTGCTTGAAGTGTGATGGCCAGAACTGGACACAGTAGTCTAGTGGCCTGTTCTGCTAACTTCATTTTTAGAAATATAGCTAGGGTTTTTCTTTTAATTTTTTTAAAATATTTTCAGACCATGGGTAAGTGAATCAGTGGATACTGATCCTGCAGATAATGGGGTCCTACTATACTTCCTACATTCACATTGCTATTTATATTTCACAAGGATATAAACAAGTCACGTCATTGCTAAGTTGACTGGAGACACCAATAACTTGGATGTGTTTTCGAAGCTCACTGGAAGAAGAGAGGCCCTCACTGTTGGTTGTTGTTAATTAAACTTTTCCAGACACGTCTATGGGATTGAGGAGGGCCAGCTTCGGTTTGAAAAGCATTAACATAAGAAAGTTCAGCCATACTTTCACAAGTGCACCTGCTTTTCTCCAGTTCTTTGGCGACGGTATGCTGTTGGTTGCTTTCTCAGCCAAGTGCGCGCTCCCATAGTTAGCCATATCACAATCCCCTTGGTGTTAGTGATGGTTGCTTTCTCAGCCAAGTTAGCCATATCACAATCCCCTTGGTGTTTTTCAGTGGCTGTATTTCATGTCTAGTTTCCAGCATCAGAAACACAAATGGGTCCCTAAATAGATGTTTACTGTTGTTATTGGAGAATATGTTCAGCAATGGCAACTGTGAGTTTGATATTTTCTACTTTTTGGAACATTTCTTCATAGAGACTTGCTGCATATGAGGATACCCAGCACATATGCAAATATGATCCTAATTCTTGGCATCCTTTCCAACATAGAGGAGACCATGATGGTTGCATATGGGATGGCCTTAAAGAATTTAGGAGTCGGTGGTTGATTAGCTTAACAGACCTTTCTTTTCTCTAAGTAGATGTAGACCAAAATATTTCTTGCATTCCATATTGCCTTCCAGTGATTTTGTGAGACGTTGATGCTGTTCTCAAACCCTTCGTTGTCTCTTTTAAGAAAGTGTTCAGTACAGGAGAAAACACCTTTAAAGGTATTTAAGTAATTCAGAATAAGGGACTTGAAAGTGATCTTTGGATTTCAGAAAGTAGATTCAAAAATATGTTTCACCAGATGTTTGGTGTGTCATTTGGTTACCTTGCTTGGTCATCTGTGCATATGTATGGGCATACTGTATTCCTTTGATTTGAAATAGCCATCTGGACCAGCCTCCAAGGCCTAGCTTCTAGCAGCCCTTTCTGCCAGATCCAGTAGTTTTTGTCTCATGTCTTGATTAATGCTGTCCCTTTGTTTTGCAGAGAGATGCCAAGGGCCAGTATCTGTTTGATCTCCTTTGCCATCACTTAAATCTCCTGGAGAAAGACTACTTTGGAATCCGCTTTGTAGACCCAGATAAGCAGAGGGTGAGTCCCAGGGAAATATTGTTTTCAGAGGGTCCCAATGTGCAAAGCCTAGTAACTTCCATAAGCTAAAGTGGGTGTTAGTATGATTTGTAAGCCAGCCTGTTCTACTGTGGGGGCAGCAAAAGCAGAACGACTGTTTTATGCAAAACAAAACAAAACAGGGCTGTTATGCTAACTTCGGTGGTAGGCTTATTTGTTTGGCAGTGGTGGTGAAGATACTTAGCTTTCCTTCTTATTAGGGGCCCTTCTTTCCCTTTAGTAGGTAATCCTCAGTAGAAAGATGAGAAGGTATCACCACAGTCAGAGAGATTAAGCAGGATGACAGCCCTTTGTGATACAAAATGTCTGGGAGCCTCAAAAACACAGAGATTTCTGCTGTCCCTAATCAGGCAGCAGTTGAGTGACATCATGCTGAAAGCCTCTTTGGTCACATTCCTTTAGAAGGTGGGTTCATCATGTCTGTAGAAGGAAGCAGGTGGTAAAGCGTGTGGGCCTTTGCTTCCCTGAAGAACCATCATACACGTCAACACACATCCACAGTAACCAAAGAAGACTGAGGTCTTGTGGCATGGGGCCAGAGCATCAATTAGTCCTATTTTGGTTTTTCTCCAGTCAAATCTGCAATCTCCCATGACTTTGTTTCATTATGAAAAGGAAACTGAGAGATAGTTAAAACATCAGCAACAGCTTAAAACTGCAAAGCTGAAAGGGACCCTGTGGGATCATCTAGTCCAGCCCCTGTCAGAGACACAGTGGGGAATTGAACTCCCAACCTCCACAGCCAGGTGCCTACAACTGTCCCATTTGTTTTGGAGTTAGTTACACTGTAATCCCTTAGGGAACTCTTGATTTTTTTTGTGGCTAAACTTTTGCTTTCTTCTTTTAAAAAATGTTTCTTCTTTATTTTAGCACTGGTTGGAATTTACCAAGTCTATTGTGAAGCAACTGCGATGTAAGTAGTATATTACTCAAAGTGTTGTGGCAGGGCTTCATTTGAACTGAACCATGTCCTAGTGTGGTACAACAAACAGGAGGAATGTGACGAGGGTATTCCTGAGTGTATGGATGCTTCCAGGCAAGGCTTGGACTGTGCAATGACCCCATCTGATTCATGGGCTTTTGCAGGAGGGCTGTACAGTATTGTTTTGGTCTGGGAATTTTCTATCCTAGTTTCAAGAACTTTCAGCTCTGATTTCAGCAAATCAGTTTCTTTCATAGGTAGTGTATTCAGAACCTGGAGTAGCTCAAGATAGTTTTGGGTTTTAAAGATCAAAACATTCAATTCCACCAGAAAGTCTGTTTTTTCAAAGGCAACCTCAGATATAATCCATGGCAAGAGTGAACACAGAGTATAAACAACAGTTGCAAATTCATCCCTGTCCAGGTAGAGCTATAGATGCCTATCAGCCTGTATTGGTGAAAGACAGTCAGAGCCACCAAGCCTACATGCCCTCCAGTTGAGTATAATATTAGGGCCATGTTTGGAGACAGAGTTAGATAGAATGAAACAGGGCATTGTTCTGAGGTCTGCCAGCTACTGAAACAGGCTGTTGTTGATTACCCAGCCAACATGACAATGCAGTTGTTCTCTTCTGCAGCACAGCCTCCATTTACCATGTGCTTCCGGGTGAAATTCTACCCAACAGATCCCGCTGCCCTGAAAGAGGAAATCACCAGGTAAGACTGGTTGTCCGTGTTCCATCCTTGGGCAGGCCAACCAAAGGAATTTGTTTTGGTTATTAATGACTTGCAACAGTACCCTACTATCTGAGGGAGTAACTACACAGTGATTGTATGAATTCATTCATATTCACTTGCTGTGAAGTTGCATAAGGGAATTCAGGTTTCCCCAGGACTGTTTGTATTAACTGGGCCACTCAGAGAAAAAAGCAGAAAGTCTTCTTTGTAGCTAGTTTGCAGCTCTGTTGTAGCCCTGCATGAGGCATGTTTACAAGGGAACTACATAATAAGCTGTAAAAGAGGGTTTCCTCCTCTCGTTTCCTGGCTTAGCTGCAGCTACCTTAAGAAAAGGAAAAAAAATAAAAGAAAATTGTTGCTGATAGAGAGAGATTTTGCTTGCTGATCCTGTAAGTGTGTGCTTGTGCAGCAGCTTTTCTCATCACACGATCACACCATATGAATGGATACAAATGGATATGTATATATTTTTAACGCAAGAGTCCCAGGAGTGGAGGCAAAAACTATGGATGGGGGGGTTTACTCTGGGCTAATTTGCATTTCCTTTTCCATCACATGGTCAGTGGGGAAAAATGTGAAGCAACTCGTCCCAATTCCAGAATATTTTTTTACCAATGTGGTTGCACCCTGACTTTGTTTTCTGGCACCAATTTTGAAGTTACTTGCTTTGCCTGCCACGAAAGTAATAATTAGACATGGGGATGAATAGAAAAAGCAAATCAGGATATTGATTAAATATCCCTGATTTGTCAGATATTTGTTGCTTCATATTCTTGGGGTCCAGAGACCCCAACGAATATGAAGCAACAAATATGACCCTTTTGTATTCGTCCCTTTGTTCCCTATCTGCTTATGCCCCGACGGGTCAGCTGTTCCTCGAGGGCATAAGCAGAGAGGGGGTTTCCCTTCAGGTGTCTTGCTAAAGCCTGCCCTAAGGGAATCCCACCCCCAGGGCTGAGGGATGGCTTGGTTCCTCTTTCCTCCCTATGCCTGAGCGGCATAAGAAGAGGAGGGAAGGGATCCCCCAGCTTCTGCAAGATCACTTTCATCCCTGCTTTCCCCCTTCTTGCTAAGCCCTGCGGGACTTAACAAGAGGAGGGGGAAAGGGATCAAAGTAATCCTGCAGTCATGGATGCACATTGATCCCTGCTTTCCCCTTCTTGCTAAGCTTAGTAAAAGGAGAGGGAAAGGGATCAAAGTAATCCTGCAGTCATGGATGCACATTGATCCCTGCTTTCTCCTTCTTGCTAAGCCCCACAGGCTTAGTAAAAGGAGGGGGAAAGGGATCAAAGTAATCCTGCAGTAGTGGCTGCACAATCGCTTTGATCCCTGCTTTCCCTCCTCTTGCTATGCCCCAGGGTACAGCAAGAGCAGGGAAAGAAAAAAAGACTCGACAAATGATGAACTGATTCGTTGTTCCTCGGGTCACTGGGGGTGCAATTCATGGACCTATGAAGCAAGACAAAGTGCCATTTTGGCACTTTGTCCCCATCTCTAGTAATAATATCTCTGACTCTCCCTTCTTTTCTTTCGGACCTGGCGAGCTGTCCTGTGTTTAGATCTTACAACCATAGATTGGAGCAAATGCTTCTCTAGCTCATGGGATTTAGGTACAGCAGAATTCTTGATGTGTCTTTGCTTGTCCAGTCCCACCAAATTATTCTGAAGCTGAAATTATGTCTCTTGTGTCCCAAAGTGGGTAGATAAGAATCTAAGATTCAATTCTTGAGGGGCAACTCTATGCCTTGCAGGCTTCTGCCGGTAGTTCCTGCCATATGTTCCTTCGTAACATATAAGAGGAGGGTGGTCTTTGTTACATGGTGTGTATCTCACAAAAAAGCAGCTGTCCTCATCATGTGGGACTGATATTTGGTCATTGAAGATTACTGAAGACAGAGAGGAAGTCTTTCCTGAAGCTGTCCTTTTTTTAGAATGAGGATTTGATTGAGACTTATTGTAACTAGGAGGCAGGCAAGGCAAATAGGTTTTACTAAATGCAAAAATGCGAACTCGCTTATTTGCTAGACAAGGTGACATAATCGCCAGACAGGATCTTATTTTTGCTGAGCCTCTTCTGCACTTGCCAGTAAATGAAACATGAGTCCTTTCTTCATATAGTGCAAATCATGTGTGCAAATGACCTAATGATGTTTTGAGCAGGGGAAAAGTACAAACATTCCTGAAGAAAGCAAATTGCTCTTAGATTTTGAGTTTTTATAACTTTTGAATTGTTGTGTGAAATGAAATCCTAACTATATTTCAAATATGATGGGAAGATGAAATTCAGTTACCTTCATAGGTGGTCATGAGAAAAAACAAAGGTGAAGTTTTCTCTCTCTCTGTTCAAATCTAGTTGTTTCTGAATGAATTTTGAGATAGAACTATTTAGGATCCTAGCGTTATAGTTTGAGCAATTCCTGCAGGTCAAACTCCTGTCTCGCAGCTGAAATCCAGACTTTTGCATTTTCCAATAAAACATTATCTTTAATCAGTTTTCCTTAGCCTAACCACTGACCTGGAATTTACAAGAAGATCCTGTGTGGTTTGTTTGGTCTCATGTCAAAATATATTTTAAAAAGAATGAGGTTTGTCAAGAAAGTAAACAAGATTGCTCATAAATAAATGATGTCCAGCTGTCATTCCTCTGAACACATCCTCTTCACTGTCTGTCAGCATGTCCCCTGAGAAAATGTATGTCCATTGTTTATTTAGTTTGTCTTCACTCAACCTCCCGTATTCCGTGACTCTTCTTTCAAATGCTGCCTCATTCAGTATTTAAGGTTCCTGAGACCTTTGTCCAGAATTGAAATGTGGCTGTTCTTTAAGATTAATACTTTTTTCTGGCAGTGGTGCTGGGCAAAGGGGCTGAAGTATATTAGTAGGAGAGAAAGCAGATCAGACAGCAGAATGTTTTTTTAAAAAAAGAGACATTTGGATGCAAATCCCAATCCACTCCATGCTTGTTTGCACCAAATGCAACAACGAGCAGGGAAAAAATGCTCCATGCTGAAGAGCCCTTTGTTGGCCACATGCTAAACATGAGTCAACAGTGTGATACAGCAGCAAAACAAGCTAATGCCATTCCGAGCTGCACCAACAGTAGCGTTAAGATCAAAAGAAGATACTGGATTTAAGAGGGAAAAGAGGAAACTAACATTTGTCTGGAGGAAAATGAACAAGATAATCTGGAACCAAAACCTTATGAGGAACAATTGGGTTATACTTAGGCTGGGAAACAGAAGGTTTGGAGATATGATAACCCTCTTCAAACATCTGAAATGCTGCCACATGGATGTTGTGGCAAGCTTGTTTTGAGCAACTCCCAGTGTTTTCTGTGGATTCCCAAAATAGAACCTAAACCAGGGGATTCAAATTACAAAAGCAGATATTTTGACTAAAAATATTAGAAAGAACTTCCTGAGCTATTAGAGAGTAAAACAGAGTACCGGGGGGGTGGGGTGGGGGGAGTGAACTCTCTTGTCATTGAAGCTGTTCAAGGTTGGATAGCCATCTACCAGCCATTGACACAGATGGCCTGCAACTGGGCAGTAGGTGTCCTCTGTATCCTTTCCCAGTCCCGCTCAGTGATGCTGAGTTGTGAGTTTCCTGCATTGGCTAGATGATCCTTTCTGCACTTCTGTGATTCCACGCTTCTCCTCTCAGCTGTCCCGTAGCACACAGAGGTTTAGGGAAAGTGACACTTACCAAGACAGGCAGTGAACCTGTGGGACAAAATCCTTTTCATAGTTAGCTACAGTTGGGAGGGGGAGATTTCTATCATATCATTTTTGTACCTTCTGCATTTCTTTTTGCCATCCCTCCCCATCCCCCTCTGCTCCCTCACCTAACGCCCCATGCATAGGATGGTGAGCTATGGTTTATGAATTTAGATTAATTTCCTGGTGGCAAACAGATATGACAGTGGCAGGCAAATACATGCACCTCGAAAATACTGTGGGAGCGGATTCATTCATCACACTGTCTCAGGATTCCATTTTTGAAATGCAAATACAGCAAACATATCTCTCTGTGTGTAGAATGTGCTCCCCTTATCACTAAGTAGCCAGACTCTGTTTAAGTATGGTTGATTTGGGATGAACTGAGATGTCCCCATCTCACTCTAAAAAGCCAGGAAGCAACTTAATCTACTTCTAAACTAATTTGAATGGGTTGTTTGAGGGACGGTAGCAGGCACGTAGGCAAAGTGAAGGATTCCTTCCCCTACGAGAAGTCTGATCAGTGAGATTAGCCCAGTTGATGAGTTGGTCCAGACAGTCATTAGCAGCTTGATAACCGTGCTGTGCTGCTTTCACACTTCCTCTGTAACCCATTGGCATAGCTGCAAATTGGTTGGTATTGGCAAGGTGCCGCATCTTTTTCAGTTTTCCCCAGAACTGGCAGCTGAATAGGGGCATGGATCTCAGGTTGGCATCTCATTCTTATACACATTATTTTTAATTCTTTTTCTATGCTGATTTTATATTTTAACATTTCTTTCAGCCACCTCGGTATTATGCACTCAATAAATCTGAATTTGATTGTGAAATGGTTAATAGCAGCTGTGTCTGGTATTAAGCTTTCGTGAAATATGGTAATCAGGAATAGTCGGAGGTCAGCACATTGAGAGTTGTCAATGCTTATGAGGGGAACTGAAGTATCATCGAGGGGACATGGCCACTGAAGGCAATCAAAGGAAACCAATACAATCACTAAGCAAGAGAAGGATCAGTTAACGACAATCTTGTGACAGTGGATTAGTTCTTGGATAATATGGGTCCCAATTTATGTAACTGTTTCACTGCCACTTGGGATATTGTCCCGCTCATATTGCACATGTGAGGAAGATCTCGATTATCTCTCCATTCCTTACAGCCCAGCAATCATTGTTTCTTAAAGAGTCATTTAAAGACCTGGCTCTTCAGGCAAGCCTTCCCTTCAGTCAACACCTGATTTTCTTTTTTCTTCAGCTTTTTTTCCCATCTTGATCTCCTTATTTGCTGATATAATTATGTAATTGATTTACATATAATGGTTGTTGTGGGTTTTTCGGGCTCTTTGACCGTGTTCTGAAGGTTGTTCT